TTTGAATTCAATGACTTTGCTAATTTTGTGCTTAGTTGCAGGAAGAGAAAATGAATAAAGAATTTTGATAAGCATTGATATGTTGTCAATATATACAAATATTCCAGTTCAGGAAATAATTCAAGCACTACTATTCAGCTTGGAAGAGCACCCGGAAAGTAATGAGTGAATGAATCTATGAGATTTATTCACCCTATTTTGTTTAAAGTAGTAGTCGAATTTTCCCACAATGATATAAGCAGAGCTGACGTTTCCATTGAATTTCACAGAGCCTTGCTTTCCCAAAAGTTGTCCTTATTCACAATGTACTGCAGTTTCGACTTCACATAGGTCTTATCAACAGCCCCAGCGGGAATCGATCCATGCAAGTGTAGAATGTGAGCTTGACACGTTAACCACTCGGACGAGTACCCTCGGATCACAGAGCAAATATGAATTACAATGGAGGCCAGGCCTTTTCCAATATTACATTCTTTGGTGGGATTATCGATGAAGCAAACGTATTTTTGCTATAAAAATCGACTACTCCACTTATTTTGCGTATGTAAATAGATTTTTGAGACTACCAGTAAATCAGTAATATGAGATGTTTCGAAACTCTACTCACATACAAATAGCAAGTAACGTCGTCGATTGTTATAGCAAAAATACGTTTGCATCATCAACAATCCCACCAAAGAATATGATATGGGAAAAGGCCTGGCCTTTCTTGAAATTCACATCTGCCTGTGATCCAAGGGCACTCGTCGCAATGTGGTCTAGTGGTTAATGTATCAATCTCCCATTCTGCACTGTCACGATTTTTGGATATTTTAGCTATCAGAGCAACAAAGGAAGTTAGGAAATGAGGTATATAATAAGTTCATGCAAACAGGCTATTCTATTCCACAACTTCTTTCCCAATTAGAGCAACAAAATGAATGCCAAGCGTAGCTGTGAAGATCAAGCTGCTGCTGCCTCTATTTTGGTCGTAGTCTCCTTTAGATGTATAGGAGTCGGCCGACCTCGTTTTCGCAAATTAGTCATGTTTTCAGGAAGGCCTAGCTAGACACACCTTTTCCAAAGTATTCTACTATAGTAGTTATCGTAATTCCCTGTGTTGTACTGGCAACTTGGTACATTCCCATGCGTTTTGCCGACATCGCAGTCGTCAGTTTCATTGAGTCTTGCCATTCTCAGTATTATGCTACAACTCGCCAAAGAGACAAGTCACTCTTTGACGAGTTGGTGTGAAAAATGGCAATACTCACTAATGATCAAGACTACGATACCGGTAAAACTTCTGAGAATGTACAAAGTCCACGGACTGATGCTGGGAATTGTGATAACTAGTATGGCAGAGGACTTCGAACAATGTGCGTTCAACTAAGTTTCCCTGACAGCAAGACCACATTTCGAAAATAAGGTCAACCCACTTCTACTCTGATAATGTTTGTAACATGATAGGTGAAAGCTCAGCACGTTTTTCCGGAATCAAAAGACACAGCGTCAACCAAAATGTTACAGAAAGGCCAAACGTCAACTGGCAAAGAATAATCCGCTGTCACCTGGTTAGACCGATTCTACAATCTCTTCATCACACTCGGGGCAGAAATGAGCTTAACAATTCAAAACCCAAAGGTTTTAATGCTCCATATTTCTTAACATCTCCCACTTCAATGCATTATTGGAAAAATAACAGCAGAAAATTTCGTTAATTTGTGATTATATATTGCCTCTTGTCTAAAATTAATTTTATAACCAACGTCCCCATATTTGCCATATTATTTTTGGGTTTTATCTTTTATGATTCACCTTCCATATTTAACCATTTACTCCCTTCACTTTAACGGTCAGGTTCATGTTTCGGACTGCTGCTATGGTAAGTATAGCCTCGGTAAGCGCCAACACCCCAACGACCTTCAAGCAACTGCCTAGCCTCATGTACGTGACCTTCGTTCTGGACATTGTGGTGGCAATGATCTTCACCATTGAGATGTTCAGCAAAATGTACATACAGGGAACCTTTTCTCCAGCTGCATGCCAGGTTAGTGATATTATATTTTTTGGAAATGTTTATAGTCTGGAAATCACATTTAGTTGCACCACCGTACATAACTCATCGTATTCTATACATCTGCACAATCGCCCTTATCTTCGATAATTGGAACCCACGTTATGGGCTTCGATAAAAACTAAGTATTGGGCAATATTACTGTCCATATGAGATTTATTCACCCTATTTCGTTTAAGGTGATGAAGGACTGGTAGTAGGACCTCGCATAGGTCCTATCAACACCCCCGGCGGGAGTCTAACGGTGACAGTGCAGCATGTGAGCTTGACACGTTACCCACTCAGACACATTGCCACGAGTGCCCTTGGGTCACAGAGCAGATGCGAATTTTAAGGAAAGCCAGGCATTTTCCTATATCACATTCTTTGGTGGGATTGTCGTCATCACATTAAGCGAAATAGAATTATTACATCTCATATAACGGATTTACCGGTAATCTCGAAGCTCCACTTATATAGGAAAATAAAGTAATGTAGTCGATTGCTATAGCAAAAATGAGTTTGCTTCATCGATAATCATACCAAGCAATGTAATATGGGAAAAGGCCTGGCCTTCTTTGAAATTCACATCTGCCCTGTGACCCAAAGGCACTCGTGGCAATGTGTCCGAGTGGTTAACGTGTCAAGTTCCCATCCTGCACTGTCACGGTTCGACTCCCGCTGGGGGTGTTGATAAGGCCAATGCGAGGACGAAATTGCAGTCCATTGGTGCCTGGATGGGAAAAACTTTTGGGAAAGCAAGGCAATGTCAAATTCAATGGAAACGTGGGAAAATTCTACCATTAATCCTTCATCACCTTAAACTAAATAGGGTGAATATATCTCAGGCGAGTGGATGAGGTTCATAATTTAGTCTGACCGAGAGCTAAAGAGGAACTGCCTTGGAGCCGTAACTGTAGAGTCGTGCGAAATTTCCTCGGCGCGCAGCCTCGTGACCCCAATGAGTCCTTAGAGCGGGACACCATGCTTTAAGATAATTCACTAAAACACTGAGGATCCAAAATATAAGTCACTTAAGGGAGGATGCAGCTGTTCAGTCACGCTTACATCCACTATACATTTAACCTGCAGCCATTTTACATGTTATTTACAGTTACTTCCCTTTTACGCAAGCATGTAGAGAAAGTATAGCATATCCAACAAAATCATGAAATGCCTCATTATGTGTACAAAATTAGGCCATAAGAAGCAGATGGGATTGCACCTTTTTTGTCTTTGTGTTCTGGTGAATTATCGGAATAGATGATGTTCTTCTTTAATATCGTCCATTAAATGA